CTGAGCCAAACCGGTTTCAGCAGGCTTTAATTCTTTATAGCTATCCAAAAGTAGAATTGGCTTCATTGTGAATAATAAAGTAGGGTGTGTATCTATGTGTTTTAGTTTTAATGGGCTCAAATGGAGATGTTGGGTCTCTTTGGTGTGGATTGTGTAAAAGTCAGTACGTTGACTGGTTACAGGGGAGTGTTGCCCATAGTGTGCTGCTGGCATTGTTGTTTAGTTCCATGTGAGGTGCTGGCGTCATCTTTCTTCTGTACCAGAGCAAGCATGCCAGACTCACAGCTGGCGGGCCACATGCCTTGTTGCTGGCCATGAGTTTGCCTTGCTTGTTCTAGAGCAGTTGCCCTGATACATCAGCACCTCTATTGAGATTTTTAATTAAAACAATTCACAATATCACTCCCCCCCCCCCCCCCAAATACACAAATCTACCTTTCTTGGAAATTATCAACCTTGAAACATGAATGAAAGGATCCAGTCAAGTTCAGATCTCCTACCTGAAAGGAAAAATGTAAAAATCCATTGGTTTGTTGTCCAGTCTCCCGGCAAGATGATGAGATTGAAACTGCATGTGATGTATCATACTCACACTTAGTGTAAAGATGTTCATAGCTGCATCCTAGCTCGTTGAGGACTCAAGGGTCCTGGCTTTGATTCTGGTCAAGGGCCTGTACCTTGATTGCAGGCTCAAACTCCAGTCCTGGTTGGAGTGCATCCTGGAGGCAACCAATCAATGCGTTTCTCTCACATCAATGTTTTTCTCTCTCTCCCACTTTCTCTAAAAAATTCAGTAGAAAAATATCCTTGGGAGAGGATTAGCAATAACAACAAAAATATATGCACAGTTGCTATTATAATGTATATTAAATATAAATTAAAATTTGTGCAGATAAAAAGGGTCCTGTGATTTAAAACTTAAAATGAGTAAAGTAGTATAGGTTGAAAACACTTTTTCATCCCCCCCTTTTTTTTTCTTTATCTGTCCAGTTCACACAGCCATCCTTCCCTAGTTTCTGTCTGCATTTGGAAGCAAATTCAAATGCAAGTTCTGATTTTGCTGTGTTCTAGTGGTGGTTTATTTTGCATACTGTTCTATAACTAGCTTCCTTCCCCAAGATAGTTGAAGATCTTTTCATATCAGTATATGAGGTATATAAGGGAGCGTTTTAATTCTTTTTATAGAGCTATTAGCATTACCTTGTTTGAATTCTGTAATTATGAGGATTTAGGTTGTTGGCTTTTTTGTTGTTGTGTTGCCATAGGGCTGAGGTGAGGGATGGTAGCTGCGGCTGTGCTAAGAGCCGAAATTAACCTAAATTAATTGCAATTCCAGTCAAGCTTTCCCCTTTAAGTTGCAAATTTTTAGAGTAGACTCCAGACTATCAAAATAGTTACATGAGGCAGACTCTGCCAGTGCTCTGGTTGAGACACATTGCTGATGCTCACCATTCTACCATCTTGACAGAATCCTTCCCCACTCATGTCGATTTAATTTGCTTTTATTTGGTTATGAATTAAGTTAGGCTTTCATAGTTTAGAAGTCATTTCTCTGAATGTATTCATTTTGTCATTTTTTTCTGTTGGATTATTGGTCACATTGTTATCAATTTCTAGGATCCATATGCTTGCAAATAGCTCTTTATGATATGAATTTTAAGTGTGTATATATATATTTTTTTTTCTTTAGTCTTTTCCAATGATTTTACTTTCGGTATTTTTATTGTTTATGTAATTAAATTTATTACATGTAGAGTTTTGTATTTATTTTGACTATATATGTAATTAAATGTATTACATGTGGATTTTGATTCATGGGTAGAAAGTTCTTATACCAGTAGTTAAGAAATTTTCTTTTCATTTTTCTTTTTTTCATTTAGTACCTTTACAGTTTCATCTTTTTGCATTAAACGTTTAATTCATTTGGACTGTAATCAGGGGTGTTATGCTCCAATTTCTTAAGTGTGGTATTTTATAGGACATTCCTGATTATATAATATTTGTATACATTTGTTGGATATATTTCATTGGTCTCTATGTAGACATAACATGTAGCTTATTTTGATCATGTAAACAGCATGTAAGGAATTCTGTTTCCCCACTGTTGTCTTCACTGCTAGATTTTAAATTTCATTTCCTTTTTTCTCCCTATCTGTTTATGTGGTAGTGGGGACCTCTTTACTATACTAACAAAGTCTATCCATTTATTGAGTATTTGTTTATCACTATAATATTTTTCACTTTATATCTTAAATGTAACTGCAGTAATTTTTATTAATTGAAAAGTTGAAGCCTGATATTTATCCAAGTGCCTCTGGCACGTTTTGTGAATGTGCCAACATTGGACTTTCCAAGAAAGTGGTTGGCTCAAATATGCTTTCCTTGGTTTGTACCCATGAAATTTCCATGCCATAATCACCAAAAAGTAGCTCATAGATATCGATACAATGGCTAGTTACACACTGGCAAACTAGAAATTGCAAATATTTAAAGGAATTTTTAAAGAACATGATATCTGATGAGAGAAAATTGAATGAAGGCAGGCATCTACTGGGTTTTAAATACCATTTATTTATGAAATGAGGGGGTTGGGGAAAAAGATAGTTAAGGTCCCCTCCAGGTCATTGTTATTCCCATGTACATTTCCATTTCCATTATTTTGCCTGGACACTTGGTTTGTTTGCAAGTTGAAGCTCTTCTTGGCAGTTCTCAGGGCTTGGCAACTAACCTGCTCTCAGCTGTCTCATTCAGCAATTGCTGTCCTGTTTCCATCTGCTCCCTTTTGTGAACCATGCTTAGAGAGCACAAGTCATGGACTTCATTTTCTTTGCTAGTACACACACACACACACACACACACACACACACACACACACAAACACAGTCCCTGCTTTTATTCTCCCCATAGTGTAGAAATGGAGAATGGAGTCTAATGGTGATATTTCTGCATTTCAGCTTGGGTTAGCTTTCCCTAGAATGAAGGCTATAACCTTAGTAAAGAAATGGAATGGTCTTCTCTCCACTGCTCAGGGCAAGAGGGTTTTCACATTGGGGTACAAATAGGACTCTTCTTTATCAGTCTGTTACTGCCATCAACAAGGTATTTACAAACTGTCTCATTTGTTAGGCTCCTAAATAAAATCCATCTTAGAAAGGGTTTGTCTCTCATATTGAATGGCATTTTAATGAGCCTTCTGAAATGATTTAAACTTAGTTCACATCAGCCTTCTTTTTGAAGCCAAGTCATACCAGTTTGATTAGACCTTCTAATCTTTTAATCATTTGATCCTCAGTATAGTTTCCGATGTGTCACATCTCTCTGTGGTATCCAGAACTGGATTCTTTCATAGTCTGGTGAGGATTGAGCAAAATGGGAAGATTACTCCCGTCCTGTTCCTCTGTCTTGGGATTGGTTTTACCCAAAACACTATGTTGTTGTTTCTCCAGTTGGCAGTTTTAAGAAAAGGCTTCTGCCTGAGCTAACATGCCCTCCCTCCAGTGAAGTTCATGTGCGTGTAGTCAGGGCTGGCTCCGGGGCCTTGGCCGAACCTGTGCAGCTGCTCTGGGCTCTGCTCAGAAGAGCCCTGGCTTTGTTTAATGCCCTGTTGTTGCTGACCTGAAATTCAGTGTTTCAACAGGGGGCTCCTCATGCCCACTATGTCCTGGGCCTACACATTAAGAAGCTGATTTTGCTTGTATAATAGTTGATAACTAGAGGACACCGGTGGTAAGTCGTAGTTCATATCTAACCTACCCTAGGTAATAATTTCAGCCTTGCTACCCAAAGTGAGGAAATCTGATTGTGAACTTGCAATTCTCTCCCTAGTTCACAGCTCTTCCACCTGTTAACGTAAAAACATCCAAACTATATTATAAGGAGTTTTGTGAGTATATTTGAGCCCAAATGTTGACAGATGCCGGGACCAGGAAGCAGAATCTCAGTGGATTGGGATAATGCTCAGGAGAATGGCAGTTCTTCACCCTGTTTTATAAATTACAGTAAAAAAGGAGATATAAGTGGGTTACAGGAAATCCATTAGTAATAGATTAGGGAGGCAGAAGAAAGCAAAGCAAGGAAATGTCTGGGATTGGATAAAAAGTAAAATGATAGACATAACTTTTATTTAGGTGGGAGAGTAGGATAGTTAACAGTCTACAATTAACATGATAACAATAACAATGAGGAAATTCATGGTCTCTGTCTGGTGCCCAGACACATTTTTATCAGTGTAGATACTGGTCTAGGACTACCACTATAAACTGCTTTGGTTCAAGTTTTAATCTCAGACCATCCTTTGTGGTGACTTTGGGACTTTGAGTTTGCAGAACCGCCATGCAGGCCTCCCCTGAGTTTGTCAGGTCAGCACGTGGCCTTTTTTCCGTCCACACACCGAAGTGCTTAAAGATGCACTCACTGTCCACCCGCTGCACCTCTGTTCTCTTCTGGATTTGTCTCCTCTTGATCAGTACTTTATTGATCTCAGTCATTGAACCCACACATTTATTCATGGAATAGAAATTTTTGGCATCCAATTGATGTCCTTTCCAGAGGATTCTTTCTCAGAATCCCTCCTGTTATCTCTTGTCCAAGGCCGAGGGTTATCTACTCACCTCCAAGACTGCTTGTTTTCTGCCTTCTCTGCTCCAGATATCTGGTAATTTTGCACAAGTTAATTTCTCACCCAAATTTTAGTGTTTTTTTTTTGTTGTTTTTTTTTCTGTTTCTGCAAAGAGAACAGGGTAGTAATCACAGGAACTCCGTCTGGGGTAGAAGTTTGGATTTCAATGCAATGTCAGGATTCTAGAGTATATGGGCAAGTAACTTGAAAATGTCTTTCAATGAGTCGTAATTAGAAGGACTTTTTAATTTTAAATTTTTTACCATAAATTCTAGGTGTCAAATCCAATACACATGTAACAAATATAACATTTTTGAATTTCATTTTATGGATTGGCAAAATTTTCAGCTACTTTTCTCTCTCTCTCTCTTTTTTTTAATAGCTTAATAAGCAACAACTGCAGTTACTGAAAGAACGATTCCAGGCCTTCCTCAACGGGGAAACCCAGATCGTGGCTGATGAGGCATTTTTCAATGCTGTCCGGAGTTACTATGAGGTAAGTGGGAAGAAGTCTTAGTTCTTGACATTCTAATATTTTATTATTATTTATATTGCACTTATTTGATTTTTTAAATGTTGATTTTAGAGAGAGAGGAAGGGAGAGGGGGAGAAAGAAACACATTGTTGTGAGAGTGAAACTGATCGGTTGCCTCCTGCATGTACCCAACCAGGGATCGAACCCGTGACCTAGGTATGTGTCCTCACCAGAATTGAACGCCTTGCGACCTTTCAAAGTACACGATGGCACTCCTACCGACTGAGACCACACTGGCCAGGGTCTGATGCCCTGGTTTTTTAAAAATGGATTTCCCACTTTAAGAACCTTGATGGAATTATAAAAAAAGGAATGAGTTTGCAACTTTTCTGAAATCATTGTCAACTCTATTTTGTAATTTAAGAACTCTGATTCCACAGTCTGGTTTTGAGAGATAAACAGAATTAAAAATTACTCACATCTTTGAGGAGAAGTAAACGGTTTAGAAAAAATTTTTGGCCATGATTGATATAGCTGAATATAGCTATCTTTGGGTCCACATGTCTAAATTACCCTTTTTAATTGGGATTTCAATAGTAAATTGCTGTCTTGTGTCATTACGTTCCCTGAGCTTTATAATAATTAAGACCAGTAACTAATTTCAAGAGGATAAATTGGATGTCGTTTCTTCCTGAAGGAATAATACTATTATACAAATGCCACGTTGCTGTTTCTTCTGGTTTTATTTTGTGACTGACTCATTAGGAATTCTCTGTGGATTTCCTATGAGCACCAGTTTTCCTATGAGCTAGCTGTTCAGTGAGTTGCTAGTGGATGTTAGACTTACAGAGTTCCCTTCTTTCCTAAGCATTTCAGATTATTTGGTGAATGGATTCCTTGCATTGTGCAGCTACTCTAAGCCTTTCAGCTGAAGAAGCAAAACATGCAAACATATATTTAGATTAGTAAAAAGTAAAACTTGTGGAGAGACAATGTGTCTGAACTTTCCTGAGATGGGGAATAATATGTTTGCATGAAAAACACAGTAACTGGATGTACAGAAAATTGGTTAAATTTGTAAATCATTAATAATATGCATCAGAAGTTACTTAATGCACCCTGAGAAGGAGGCTTGCATTAACCTAAGAATTGGCCTGTTTAATTGGATGGAAGTATAGACGTCTTGCTTACCATATACATGTACGGCATGAATCTCATGGCGATGGTTGTTGTTGTCTAAAGAGAACCTTGACTCAGAACATCAACAAATATAGGACTTCAAAATCTCAAGTATAGGATGTTATCGATACATTTCATCTTGCAAGACAACACCTGAGTCTTTTGAGTCAAAGACTAGCAAGATGAAATATTGTGCTGAATCTTAAAGGATAAAATGTAAAGGTCTTTATTTGCATCCTGTAATAAAACAGAAGTGAAAAAGTCTGTGTTCAGGATGAAGGAAATGTGGCTCAGGAGAGTAATTTGTGTAAAAAGATGTAATTAAAAGAAAGCACTGAGCTCCTGTTTGGTTTTGGTAAAGTACTGTTGCACACTGTGCATGTTAACATTAGGAAAGTTGCAACTAGGTGAGGCGGATGTGGGAGCTCTCTGTACTATATTTGCAACTTTCATGTGAATCTAAAAAATTTCCAAAATACATGTATTTAAAATAAGTAATCATAATGTGATAGGGCCACAGTTGAGTAAAAGGCACACTTAAGCTATGTTAATCTAAATATTGTAATTCTAAGGAGGGGAGTGTGTCCCTATTGTGTTCTCTTCTGGGCATGATCTATACTAATAAAAAGGTATATGCTAATTAGACCTGATGGACTGGACTTCTGGTTGTCATATCCTTCTTCCAGATAAAGCCATGGTGGTGGGGGCCGAGGAGGTTAGGGATGACCAGGCTAGCAGGGGAGGGCGGTTAGGTGAGATCAGTCTGGCACACAGAAGGGTTAGGGGCGATCAGGCTGGCAGGCAGGTGAGCGGTTAGGAGCCAGCAGTCCCGGATTGTGAGAGGGATGTCCAAGTGGGTCTAAATGGTCAGTCGGACATCCCCTAAGGGTCCCGGATTGGAGAGGGTGCAGGCCAGGCTGAGAACCCACTGCCCCCAAGCATGAATTTCATGCACCGGGCCTCTAGTGTATAAATAAAAAGATGTGGACAATTTTGCGTTGTCATGTCTTTAAAATGTATTATTTGTAGATTATTTGAAGAAACTGGAGATAGTTAGCCCAGAGAAGGTTTAGGCTTGTTATGTATGGTTCCAAGAGCAACATTAGGACCAAGATGGTAAGTGAAGTGGTGAAGGTTTCAAGCTAATACCTTCGGAATTTGGTTGCACTGGCCACATGCAGAATGCACTGGTGAGTGCAGCCTGACTGGTGGCCGGTTCTGGGCTGTGCTTCATGGGCTCTTGGGAGTCACGCTGCACATACACGTCCCAGAGCTCAGCTAAACTCACTGAGTCCAAATTTCAGAATCTATACTTTTACTTATTTCTTATTTTTTTAAAATTTGTCTTTATTGTTGGAATATTACAGATGTCCCCTCTCCCAATCTCAATAGCCCCTCTACCTCACTCTCCCCTTTTCCCTCTGAGAATTGTCAGTTTGTAGCATGCTTCTAGATCTATTTTGTTCTTCAGTTTATTTTATTCATTAGATTCTGCATCTGATTGAGGTCATGGGATACTTGTCTTTCTTTGGCTGGCTTATTTTGCTTAGTATAATGCTCTCCAAGTCCCTCCATGCCCCTCAGATGATGTTCTGAGTAGATTTCTAAGCAGTGGAATTAGATGATTGCTTGCTAGGATTGTTACAAAGAGAAATGTAAGTATTGAAGAGGCCACCAAGGGTTTTTTATTCTTCTGGTAATATTTCCAGCCAGTGTTTACTTGGGAAACTATATCCAACTTGTCTTAGTGCAACCCTCAAAGCTCTAAGACTTTTGATCTTATCGATAGTAATGGGTTTATGGAGACAACATTTCTGATTAACATCTGGGGAGTTATTTCCAAGGTGGCATATAGTTGGTACTCATTAAAGTCTTGAATGAGTACATTGTGGTGGTTAAAAAGTTGCTTTTCAAGAGTTTTTCCCCACAAAAAGTTGCTCTTTTTTTTTTTTTTTAAGTTGGTTTAAAAAAAGGTGCTTATCAATTTTTTCCTCTCTTCTTTTTTGTTGTCATTAATCCTCAAGGATATTTTTCCATTGATTTTTAGAGAGAGTGGAAGTGGGAGGGGTTGGGGGGGTAGAGGGGAGAGAGAGAGAGAGAGAGAGAAAGAGAGAGAGAGAGAAACAGACAGACAGACAGACATGATGTGAGAAGGTTACAATTAGTTGCCTGGGAATCAAACCCTCGACCCTTTGGTGTGCAGACCACTTAGCAACACTGGCCAGAACACTTTTTTCTCTCCTTTTAATGACACTTTTGTATACCTTGCAATGACTAACAATGCTAGCAGTCTCAACTATTAATTGCCTTTAGGTAGTATTTTCATAGTTTACCAAAAGACCTAGTTTTTTTCTTCCGATATCTCTTTTTGATAGAGTGCAAGTATTACTACCCACATATTACATAAATAGAAACTAAAACTGAGAGGTTAACTAACTTGGCCAGAGCTTATATGTTTGGTAAGCAGCGGAATTAAATGCAAACCCAGAGTTTTGGACTCTTTCTGCCACAGTTATTTCACAGTTGCCATTTTGAATACAGCTGTGCCAGGTGCTATGTGAAGCACATCAAAAAGTATTTTTATTCTTTAGAATAAACCTTTTAAACAGGTAGAATTATTTCCATCTTAGAGGTGAAGTGGCTTGTGCTCAAAGCTGCATAGATATTTAATAGCAGAGCAAAGAACCCCATCCACTAAGGCTTAACAACAGATTCTTTGGTTCCATCCAAGATATATGAAATCAGAATTCCTGACAATGGAGCATCTGCATTTTGAACTTGCTAACCTGGTTGATTTCATTCACACTGTGATTGAGGAAGGTGTTGACTTGGATCTCACAACTTCTGGAATATCTGTTCTGTGAAGGAGAGCCACTTCTGTCCTTGTTTCCATTGAATTGCAGTATGTGGCACTCACATGACTTCAACAAACACATGTTGTGCTAAGTGAATTAATATTTCATCACTTACTGCTCTATGTAGAAACTATATCTTCTGTTCTTTACTCTTATTGTCCCATAAGTCTATGTTTCTGAAGTATTTCAACTTTGCTATGGAATTTATTTTGCTTATGACCCTTCTTAGTTTCATAATTTTGTATTTCCTTGAAGATGGCAGATATTTCAAAGCATGGTTGTGCTATGATGTTCTTTCTAAACTTTATTCTGTGAGCCCATGATCTTTTTTGTCTTCTTTCATTTTCTGAAGTCTATTTTTTTTTAGGTTGTTACATATTGTTCACTATATACAGCTATTTTTGACTATTAACCTATCAGTGATAATTTTCTCATTTGTTAGGCTTAGTTGCCTTTAGTTGTGATAGCCATTTCTAACCATGAAAAAATATATATGAAAATACCTAATAAAAACGTATTATCACTTTAATTGAAAATACATCTTCATACACTGGGGAAACTAGTTTCACCAAAGTCTATGTTGGCTATTAATTTTTTTAGCTTTATAAATTCTATTTCTTTAATGATTTTTTTGAATAGCTTTTTTTAATCTTGATTGTAGTTTTATATTTTTGGTTGTATATTTTATATACAGTAATTTAAAAGAATAATCTGTCTGTTCTTTCATTGGTTGTATCTTCAGATATTTGGCCTGTTTTACTTCTCTTTAATACGTGGAATCTTAGTATGTGGTTTAAGGTATTTATTTTTCTCCACTTTATTTGACCAAGATATCTTTTATATTAAAAGTTAAATAGTTTTCCTCAACTAGGTCCTTATAGGATTGGATTTTTCTGAGGGTGTTTATATGTGGTGCCCAATCGTTGTGTGTCTTTGTATGCTTATATCTATTGATTAATACATATTTACTATGAATACTTTTCAATA